ATTCAGATTTCTGTATTTCTGTATTTAGACAAGACTACTTTCAATCGATTGAAATCATTTCTGTGTATATATTTTCATTGCGTCCCTATGTTATCCTCTATAATAGCTCTATCTCATATTCTTCATTTGAATGAAGTATAGAGATTTGTTTTTATTGAAAGGGGTATGCCTATGTTCTGGAGAGATTATTTCCTGGAAAAGGAAGGTTTTGGCCTTCTACTTCTGTATGTTCATACAAATAATGTGGAAAATATTTCTTTCATTGTTAATGAAATTCATCATGAAACATTGTCAACCACTTCAAACTATAGTGGACTACTACTACTATACTACTACTATAGTGGACTACTACTACTACTAATGAAATTCATCATGAAACATTGTCAACCACTTCAAACTATAGTGGAGTTTTTATGATTTTTTTCAATATTTTTAATTAAAACTCCCCTTAATATATTGAAAACCACCGGAATGTAAATAATAAATTCATAAAATTACAAATTACATTTCATATATTTTAGGGTACTCTGAAACTCATGACACTGAAGATGAATAAGTCAAAAATTAAATTGATCCTGCAGAAAACGGAGGAATTTCGGGAATTCGATGAGATCAAGAACAAATCACTGAAGAGGGTTTGCAAGCAAATCATACATAATCTGTCAATTACGTTCTACCTCTTGTTCATCTCAGCTTCACTAACCGTACTGGTTTTTATTTTTTCCCCACTCCTGGTTCAGAAGTGCACAATTCTGGAAATATATGAACCGAAAACAATACCACAACCGTTTTGGATTCTGCTACAAGTCTACTGTATTATTTTTGGAGTATTTCTTCCAATAATCAGTTATGATGTATTCTACATGAGTATAATCATTCTGTTGAAAGTGCGGTTCAAAATACTGAACTGGAAAGTGGGAGTTATTCTACAAGGACCGAAAGAAGAGATGAGCGCAAGAAAACCAATCAACAACTGGGTACTTCACCATAACTATTTGCTTGAGTATGGTAGATTTGCCAAAGAAGATGAATATCATTAATTGATTTTTTTCAGTTTCGTCACCGAAGTCAACAATGCTTTTTCCACCCCATTACTACTATATTTCGGAATAATAACATTAACTCTATGCAGCGAAGCTTTATTATTCACTGAAACGTAAGTATTCATTCGACCTCCAAGCATGCCAGATATTTGTGGTTATTTCTTTGTTCTGAGTAAGCAGTTTCAGTGCAATACTAGGATTCTTAATCAGAGTTCCTAATCATCAAACATGGGGTACCACAAGGGTATGTATTAGGTCTCTCCTATTCATTTTTATATATTAATGACCTACCGCAAAACTTGTCACCGTCATCATGCGTGCTGTTTGCAGATGATGTAACCATATACGAATCACATGTTGATAAGCAAATATTGTCAAATTCAATCGAATTGGCGGAGCAGAGAACGGAAGAATGGTTTCTAACAAACAAATTGAAACAAAAAAACCCTGATAAATGCAAAAAGATTCCATAACTTTTTCATTATTGGAGATAGAGAAACAAAACTTGAGGGTTTGTGTATTATAGTTCAATTTACACTTTTTACATATTTACTTGCTTTGCCATCTTCCGGTTTGACCGAAAATGGCCCCAACTTTCGTTTTTTAAATAGGACATCTTATATATTTCAACTTTTTTCCATCGAGAATGACATTCTAAATCCAGCAATACTTCACTTGTCAATATTTGACAAATTAAGTCATTTTTATTCCAATGTTTGTTTTTTGATCTAGAATGCCATGGATCGTGTAAATCGCTTCATTCTTGATCAAGTAACATGGGAAAACTTTGAGGCTCATGACTTCACAGTCGTTTTGAGAACTATTTCTTAGTTACAAATATGAATTTTTCAAGTTAACCTGATTTTTTCAAATTAAAAGGGGATGGCTCGTCGGATTTGTGTGAAAGTCTATTTTCTTGCGAATAATTTGATGCCACACACTTTCACTTTATTTTCTCTATGTTTTTGAATAATTGCAAGGAACGATCATACCTAATAACAAATAATACGTATTCAGTATACGTATGCACCAAGTCCTGTTATTCTAGTTATCCGTGACAAACAATTGAAGCTGTTTTGCTAGGACTACCTAAACAAAGAGGCTAATGAATAGGCTGTCACTTTTAAAAATGTATTTGTTGTGTAGTTTATAATTAGATATGGCAAATTATACTATAAACGAGAAAATTGATGTTGCTAATTTACAGAGAAACAAAAAAGAATGCACGAATTTATGCTCAGAGGTTCCCTAATCGTCGCCATCCCACTCGGCATTATTTTCCAAAACTGGAAAGAAAAATGCGAAATCAACCAGAAGGAAATGCCAATAACTTCATCGTCAGTGAAGAAAATAAAGTAGACGTGTTGGGCAATGTTGAAGTGAATTGTACGGCTTCAATTCGCCATAAGTTATTCGCCCGTTATCGATCATTCAAGTACCAACTACACCAACATCTTTACGATAACGATCACAACCGAAGATTGACTTATTGCAACTGGTTTTGACTACATACAGTGACAATGTACGTATTCCATTTGAAATTATTTATTCAGATGAAACCCGATTCACCAACTTGGGTATGTTCAATAGGAATAATAAAAGGTACTGGTCTCAAACAAATTTGAATCTGGATGGGTGTTATCGGAGGAAAACTTTTGGGGCCAATAATTTTCGACGGGCAACTGACTGCAGAAAGATATCTACAGTTCCTTAGAAATCAAATTAATGATTTCATTGAAGATTTGCCACTGGCTAACCAAGTTGATATCTATTTTCAACCCACAATTCTCAAGTCGTTAGAGAACATCTGAATGACACTTTCCCAGAAAATTGGATTAGCACTTGGACCTATGGACCTATTCAGTGGCCTACGAGGTATATTCTTGAGTTGTTATATTTTTACATAAATGTTTTATTTCTTTTTCATATTCTTGATCACCAGATTACTCCGCTAGATTTTTTTCTCTGGGGAACAATTAAAAATCAGGTTTACAATACAACATCAGCCACTCGAGCATAAAGTAAGGGTGGCATTCCAGAACATCACTGAGGAACAGATAATCAATGTGATGCGCGCAACAATTGAAAATGTTGAACTTTGACGTGATCAAGGAGAAGGCCATTTTGAGAATGTATGACCTCAATGGACTAATTTGCGACTTTCTTGCAATTATTCTTGTTATTAGAAAAATAGAGAAAATAAAGTGAAAGTGTGTGGCATCAAATTATTCGTAAGAAAATGGTCTTTCACAAAAAGCCGACGAGCCACCCCCTTTCCATTTGAAAAATGAAGTTAACTGGGAAAATTCATATTTGCGACTACGAGTCATAAGCCTCAAAATTGTAGTTTTCCCATGTTACTTGATCAAGAATGAAGCGATTTACACGATCCATGGCAACCTACATCAAAAAATGAACATTAGAATAAAAATTATTTCATTTGCCAAATATTGACAAGTGAGGTATTATTGGATTTAGAATGTCATTCTCGAGCGAAAGATATATAGGATGTTCTATTTAAAAATCGAAAGTTGGGGTCATTTCCGGTCAAACCGGAAGTACGGCAAAGCAAGCAAATATGTCAAAAAATGTAAATGGAACTATAATATACAACCCCCAAATTTCGTTTCTCTATCTCTACGGTGACCCACCGTAGAGAATCACCCGGTGTGTATTCCGTACGACTTGCTACAAATGTGTATACATGATGTGGTCAAATAAAAATATCTATCTATCTATCTATCTAAGAAGATCTTGAAAGTAGAGGTAACACCTCACAAACACTTAGGAACAGTACGAAGAATTAACTTTAGATGAGCCGTTGATTGGTGATTCAAACGATTCTGAAAGATAATTTTCTATGTTTTCCAGATCAAATTTCAGCGATGCATTTAGAGCGGGTCTATACTTTTCTGTGGGATTGTTTGAATTCACTGCATTTTACTGTTTGCCAGGAGAATTACTGATCGATGAAGTGAGTATTTAGAAAAGTATTGTTCATTATCTAACATAAGATTGTAACATATCGATATAATACTTTTTCGTATTCGGTTAACTTTCCAATGACATCATTCAATGATAAATGAAATCGAAAACTATCTCACGGCGACGCCAACTTACTGAGTTAAATCTGCGTCAAAAAAAGTGTTACAGTTTTGCTCTATTTATTCATTTTTGTCATATAGCCTGATTTTTTTCGAAAAAGATGGAAAATCCAGTTTACTTGTTTTTTGTAGTTTTCTTCTGGAGAAAGCAATTTTCCCCACTTTGTTCGGTAGAAACCAAAGAAATATCCATGTGGTGTAAACATTCTTTTTCAAAATCAAATACGTGTCAATAATTTTTTCATCTTCAAAAATTATTTTCATACTCATCATCTTCTGTACTAATCTACTATATTATATTTACGTTCTGCCTATTTGAGTGCTTTGTTCAATAACTTTACCTTCAGTAAAGTAAATGAATAAACTTATTATTTTGATTGACATTTTCATTGAGGAGTCAATGTATCTTGCTGTTTTTTACTGGGTTTCCAACCTTCCATAAGTTAAATTAGTGTTGCAATTTCTCACAATATTTATACATGATTCAAAACTGGGCATTGAATATTTTGTGATTTTGCCCGGGATATTTGTTAATACCAATAATTATAATTTGTTTTCAAATGATAACACGATTAGTTGTATGCTATTTCCATCCACGAAAATAATTGTATGATATATTTTGAAACTTCCTTTTTGAATTTCTCCAACAAATATAAATTATCAGTCATGCTCACTTATCACCAGTCTACTTGTATTCATATCAAATTCCGCTAATCAATTATTGGATTCGTCATAAACATATTTTTCAGCACAATCAATAATTAACACAATCACTGTTTGTGTCTTCCGAAACCCCTAAGATTATTACTCTCTCGGTCACTTGAAAACAATGGTATTCACCGATAAAAAGTGCTATAAAAACCGCGACGGAATCTCAGAACTGCAGACACAACATCCAGTGCTCGAAGATGAAGTGTGTTCTATTGTTCTGCTTCATAGCTTTCTGCTATGCTGTGCCTACAGTACCAACTCTCCCTAACGTCCAGTTTGGAGAAGACGGTACCATCACAATCACCGGAGCTGATGGAAAAAAGGTGGTTATTTCCAAGTCAGCAGGAAGCGATGGCCAAAAAAATGTCGAAATTACACTACCAGATCCTCTAGGCACAACCAAATCTATCAAAATCAACCAAGACTACAATCAGAAGACAGTCAACATCGAAGATTCTTCAGGTGGCCGTTACAAACGAAGCTCTGTTTCAAAAACTTCGAAGGAAACTAAAAAAGGCAAGTCAGAAGCTGAAATTCTGGATGAAATTTTCAAAGATTACCAAGGAGCTGTTGATCTGAAGTCCTACGAAAAGGTTTTGAAGGAAATCGACAGCTACGTCAAATCTGGAGACCTAGACTCATCCATATACGAAGTTTTGAAAGGTTTTGCACAATATGACGCTCTAAATCCCGAAGGATACCCAGGACAGAACAAGATAGGATATACTTCTGCTCTTGGGTACTCTCCGAGACTGGTATCTCTCCAGAATTACCTGAACAAAGTGATCGGGGAACAACAGTCATTGAATGGTGGCTGGTATGGCAAACAACCAGTACTTGGATCATCTCAGGGACCAATTTGGTACAAGGACGCTCAGGCGCAGTTCTATGGACCAAATGGAGAAAATCTTCAGCAGTACAGGTAAGTTGTTCTACCAATGTAACACGAGGAAATAAGACTATATTTTTCTTTGTGATGTTTTGGTGTCAGAGAATACAAAATATAAATTCGGGTCCGAAACAACCTCCCTGAAAATCAAGTCTGCTCTTAACCAAATCAAATCTTCGTTTTTGATCATCAGATGTGAAAATTTGAAATCATATACTGAGAATTTGAACGGGATTGTAGGACTTGAAATAAATTATTTTGGTTCACTTATATAAACAATATTTTTGGAAATGAGATAAATGACAGTTTCAACGATTGCTTTTTTCTGTCTGGTGTAGCAGAGACCGTGCTACTGAAAGGGGAAAATGCAAACAATATAAACAATATAAGTACATTTTTTTTAACTTTCCTGTTTGGGACAGTCATGACGGGAATGAAAAATAACTCAATGACCTTTCAGAAGATACAGAGGAAGGAGAGAATATTACCATACTCTCAAATACCATACAAATAATGTTCTTCACCGTTGAAATAAAATACATTCAGTCCTTCCACAAATCTGAAATGTGAAGGTAAACACTACTGATTTCAACAAATATGTGCATATCTTAAGATTGCATTCATCAAAGTGACTAGGTTTGGTTAGGTTACGTCCAAAGTGAGTGGGTCTATTCGACCCCCACCGCAACCCGCAAGGGTTTATTGTGGCTCACACCTATTCACACTCGACCAAATAAACCCAGCTTCTTAACGTAGCCGATTAGTTTGTATGGTGAGTGGTCTTTCAGGTCAGATGGTAAGAGTACCGCACTGCCGAACTCTAGAAACCTGATTTGGTCCCCAGCGGGACAGGCACAAAGTGTGTGCTCTGCTGTATCATCATTCCCACAGTCCGAGTCTTTGTATATGATGTTTCAAATGACAGTGACCTGTAAGAAGGCCTGTTAGACATCGTAGTTCACCCCTACTGTAGTCCAACAACTGTTTGGTATCAAGCTTCGAAGGATGAATAAACACCTTGGAGTGAGCCAATCCTGTGCCAGAAGTCTTGTCATCCAGGTATTCAATGTTTGTTTGGGAAAGCCTAAAGCAATGCCAATGACAGGTTCTGGTCTGATGAAGCCGCTTTCAGCACCCTCCTTTGCAAGAGAGTCAGCAGCTTCATTACCTTCCAGGCCAGTATGGCCAGGAATCCAGACCAGAGACAATATGTTAAGTCTTCCTATCAAGGAGAGTCGTTTTTTGACAATTTGCTATCAAAGTGACTATCCTTCGATGAAAAACTATGAAAAAATAGTTGAACAAATACTTTATGAGGTAGCATTCCTTGGTTTTTCAACTGTGTTTCCCAAAATCAAAGTTCCACATTCAAATAGCAAAATAACTAACTTGAGTAGAATTTCTCGCTACTCACCAATCCCTTGTCATCATAAATGGGGTACAAATTTAACTTTCACCTTGTTTTTTCAACAGACAATCATACGAACCTCTACAAAATCTGCCCCAACAAGCCGGCCAACAATTTGTTCAGCAAAGCTTGCTGCCTCTGTCTGGACCATATCAACAACAGTTTCCTCAACAACAATTGTATCAACCCCAACAGCCATTAGGGGTGCCTCAAAGCCAGTGGAACAGTCTCCCGCTCATTCCCAAACAACAGTCAGCACAAAACCAGGACTTTCTTTGGGGTCAGCAGTTATCTTTCCCTCAGCAACAAAAAATTCAATCCCAGCAAGTATTGCCGCAGATTCAAAGGCAACCAAATGTCTTGGAACAATTTCCGCAGCAACTTTCATGGAGCCAAGCAGGACAACAGTACTACGGACCCCAGCAGCAGTACTATGGGCCTCATCATCAAAGTGAATTGCAAGTATCTCAGGGTGAACAGCAACAGCAATACATTCAACCTCAACAGCAGTATGAGCTCTATCAACAACAGTCTTACTTGCCAGGAGGACAAGTACCTCAACCGAAACAGAACGTTATCTACCCACCACAGCTGCAACATAATCTGAATGAGCCAGTATGGGCTGTTCCCAAACAACAGGTCAGACCAGAGCTGCAAGGATTATATCAAAGTCAAGGCCAACAGACTCCAAGCGACTGGTACTACAGGCTGAAGCCTCAAGCAGCTCAGTTAGGTCGATTGCAATATCCTGCTAACCTCCAGGTTGTTTAATTCTTCACTATTGTGCTGTCCTGAGTTTTTTCATTTGAATGATCAATAAATATAGTTAGTCATTTTCATATAGTTGTATTTTTTCTGTATAAAGCACCTCACCGAACATTCCAATCTGAGAAGACTAAATTTCTGTTATGAATTATTGAAATATTATTCGACTTCCATATAGAAGAGGTTATCAACGAGAAGAACGACACACATAGAATGTAAAGAAATCAACAATTATCAAAATAAATTGTTCGAAGATATTTCTCCTAATGGAAACTAGAAGAAACACATTTTGAAATTTGCCCAATTCCTCGTATAAGGGAAGAAAACTTTTCACATATAGTCTGTGAGCTTGAAGACTGGCTATGAATAAAATCATCTAAAAGAACAATGTGTTCAGGCCAGTCTCAATTCCCTACACTGTAGGTTGATGTACTGACGCCTATCAGAAAACAACTACTTCCCTAGCTAATACCACGAATGGCGTTGAATTATATCCGACAGGTGTCAGTGCAGGATTCTTCACAGAAGTTATTCCTGCATATGCTGTTGGCGATACAACTACCGCAATAGATTTTCAATTATTGGAACACACTTCGGCCCGAAACCGGGCCAAACAGCCCGGTTTGCCGTCGCCATATCTGCCTGTGAACGAGGTAATCAACTGCATATCCGAAATTTGCCCAATTCCTCGTATGAGGAAAGAAAACTTTTGTGAAGAATCCTGCACTGACACCTGTCGGATATAATTCAACGTCCTTCGTGGTATTAGCCAGGAGAGTAGTTGTTTTCTGATAGGTGTCAGTCCATTAACCTACAGTGTAGGGAGTTGAGACTGGCCTGAACGAATTGTTCTTTTAGATGATTTTATTCATATCCAGTCTCCAAGTATGCCCACTGACTATATCATATATATCTATATTCTATATCATAATGATAGACTCAATTTCAATATCACCCGTTCACTCAAATACATATTAGGAGAAAATCGTAATACTGACAATCTCATAGCTTTCCTCAAACACATTAATATGTTACACGAAATTTAGCACTAGCATAATTTGTATCACTGAACCTACTCTAATAAGCCTACGTGGTTGAAGCGTCTTTTTTAATAAAAAAAAAGATTAATGAGTATTCAGTGAGTTACTCTCGCATTTATAAGTATAGATAAATTTTACATGGTTTTCCTTAATGATATGCGAATATTCAAGGTTGTGAATCTGAATGAAAATATGTTGCCACATAAACTATGGTCCAAAAATGTTCGGTTACGACAATACGAGATGTTAAAATTTCAAGAAAGAAACGGAAATTATTCAACATTTCCGAAACCATTTGGGATATTTTTGTGATATTTATCAAGCAGTGATAGTTGATGAATGTTTTTATTGTTCGATAATAAATGATTTTCAACTCCACTAGTGGCGTGGATACGGGAATTGAATTTTAATTTTGAATAAAACATCTGAGGTTTTTTCTAAGTAATATTGTCTATAAGTAAAATAATAAAAACCCTTGAATTATCTGATAAATCGTTGAAAAATTTAACTGTATTGAATTTGATCTCACTTCAGTGGCACGCTTTCCGATATCAACTTTGATATCTTCTACCATCGCGTTTAATGTTTGTTTCCAAATGATTTTTTCCAATCCCTGTTAGAATTTGAACAAGACAGTTCGCTAGCTGTGAGTGAAATCATTGATTTCCTTGTACTGTTCAAAAATTGTTAAAATACTGTATTAATCTCCATCTACTTTCAGCTTTTTATTAAACTCATATACACACTTTATTTCATCAATACACGATAAATGTAGTTGCCTAAGAATATGTCACTTGCTTTTTATATTTTACATTTCTTATATTTGTATGTCATTCAAATCTATTCACTGTGAATTAGAGATATCCAAATCGTGCTTTGGCAGATAGTTGAACGTTTTCCAATCTTCATCGTCATATCGTGAAAACTGTCACTGTCCGAGAAGAACCATCTTAGGAAACGCCCCAAAGTGTAAGACCGGCTGAAGTCGAGGATATGATGCTATAGGAAAGTACGAGTAAGATCGTTAGATAGTTTAATATTCGCCATGGTGAATTTTACCGAGATTCCTTGTTATATCCTTATCATATTTCAAGGGTTCCGACCATATGGCCAAAAACTATTGGTACCCACTTCATTGGACCATTCTTCTTGCCTGGACGACTTGATAGACAGTCTTACCGCAACTTCCTTCATCAACAACTACCACTGATGCCTGATAATGAACTCTTGGCAAAAATTAATGTATATGCATTATGGTGCACCAGCACATTTCAGTGTAGTGATTTGCAATTATTTGCAAACTGTTCATCCAAATCTTTGAATTGGCACTAGTAGGCTTCAAAAATTGTCACCAAGGTCTCCATACCTCAATTTCTTTCCATAGGGACATCTTAAGGTGCTAATGTACAAAGGTCCCATTGAGACTGAAGGAAAATCAAGAGAAATAATATTTGTAGCTTATTATAGAATAGAATATACGCCACATTGAGTGAAGGGACACATTTTCAACAATTTTTGTAATAGTCCTTCTACATTAATGTAATGTGTTGTAAAAATACTTTGTTGGAATAATTTCACTGAATAGTTCCACAAAAACGCTATACAATAGCTTCTTCAGGTGTGTCGTCACGTGTTGCGTGTTGAAATACGCAGTTGCTGAAACCCATAGATAGGCAGATTTGGTCACATAGAATGGCCCACAAGCTTACCTCATAAGGCGCCTCTAGATGTTTTTGAGAGGTGCGAACATCTAAAATCTAAAGGGAACAATACACAACCGTGACTTATTTCAGAACTCGTGGGTTGAAACATTGATGCTTGCAATGAAATTCCATAATGTAAAAAATGACTCCATAAGAATACTATATTTTCAGGAAAGACATGTTTTGGTTTTCTATTTCTCCTTTTCGAAAGTTTTTTTGAGATCTACACATCTTTGTACGGAGTTGATTTTTTAAAATTGATTGCTTTCTTCCTTTCTTTGAGAAATTCCCACATGTTTTCATATAGCGATGGAAAAGTTGAAAGCCAAAATCTTATTATCTCAAATAATAATCTCTCCCAAAAATATAACCCCCTCAATTTGAAAGACGAACATTTTGACCATTCATTCAGTTGAATTAAAGTCTATTGAGTTTTTTTTCTAATTTATGATATTGATTCGAATACTGTTGATCACTCAGAAACAGCTGATGTTTACATCAAACTAATGCACATCGAACTATGTATCACAAAACCATTCGAAAAATATTGGTAGCGCCCTCTCATCAGCGAGTGATGCAACACTTATGTCTCTCTTATCAATGATTATTGAAAATGATGCCTCTCTACATAAATTCTGTTCAAAATTCATATTTCTTCCCATTCAAATGTTGAAAGGTAGGAGGTCTTTTTACATCCGTACTATATAATATTCAATCAAAAAATTTCTCATCAGGGGTTAAATTCAATATTTTCCGATTTTTCTTTTCAAAATTCAGAAGAATTTCACGTATATTATTTTGATAAAGACATATCTGAACATTTTGACTTTTTGTGAATGCCAAAAAGCAACAAACAAATACTCCAAGTTTCCAACTCATTACAAAACTAGTCGAATATTGTTTTCATTCATCAAAACAAAGAGGTATTTTGACAAGCGTTTTATTAATTCTTGCAAATAATTTATCTATCATGTTCTTTTATCACTAGCGGACTTTATTTCGTATTGATTTTCAATAATCAATTGTTGACTTCAACATAAACATTTCAGGCACATTTAAAAATGAACGCAATCATTGTTTGTGTTTTTTAAAAGCCGTCCGAGATTGATAACTTCCTTGTCACTCAAAAACAATGGTATCCACCGATAAAAATGTACTATAAAACATTTGACAGAATCTGAAAACAGCAGACATATCATCTTGTGTTACAAAATGAAGTGTCTTCTGTTTTGCTTGATAACCTTCTGCTACGCTATATCTGCAGCTCCAACCCTCCCTAACATCCACTTCGGAGAAGATGGCACCATTACTGTTACTAGGGCTGATGGAAAGAAAGTAGTGTTCCCCAGCTCACTAGGTAGTGATGGATATAAAAACATTGGAATCGAACTAGCAGACCATGTTGATCAGACTAATACCATCAAACACAAACCAAAGTTCGGAGAATCTGGAGGTGCCCGTTACAAAAGAAGTTCCATTTCCATAACTCCGGAAGAATCTAAAAAAGGGAGGTCTGAATCTGAGATTCTGCATGAAATCTTCAAAGATTACCAAGGTGCTGTTGATCCGAAATCCTACGAGAAAGTTTTGAAACAAATCGAGGAATACGTCAAATCTGGAGACCTGGATTTGTCAATCTACGAGATATTGAAGACCTTTGCCCAAAATGACGTTTCCAATCATGAAGACTACTCAGGACAAGACAGGAGTATATACAATCCTAGTATTGGCTATAATCAAAAACCAGTTCATCCCCAGAATTATTTGAACGAAGTAGTCGAGAAACAACAGTTGTGGAATGATGACTCGTATGGCAAGCAATTTTCACTTGAATCATCTCAAGCACCAATTTGGCATGGAAACGCTCAGTGGCAGTTTTATGAACCAAATGTAGAAAGCTTCCAGCAATATAGGTGAGATATTCCTTCACTGGAATTATTATTATAAAACGTTTTGATACCTTCATTTTTCAACAACGTATTCAGTCTTCGATCAATTGAGCAATCATTTCGAAAAAAAAAGTGAAATAAGTTATAATGCAAATTTTAATTAAGTGACAAGAATACTCATTCAGGTCTTAATGGACAGGACTAGATTTCGAGTAGGCCTTCATATTTTATGTATCAAATGCAAATGTCCGAGAAACATTACTGATGCGAAACTATTGAAAATTCAGTTTCCTGAAAACTAGTGAATCGATCTCGAAAACACTAAAAATCATCTCAATTGGCAATGACTCAAAACGGTGCACTAATGAAAAATGATAATGTAATAGCATGAACTCTTTTAAATAATGAAAGCAGTTATTTATTGTACCAGTGTTAGATTTGGAGAGGCTGGAATGTGAAATATCAAGATATTAATCATTAAGGTGTTTTCATAAATTTTATTGATTTTACGAACGGCCAGAAAGTTAGCAAGTTGTGATTATGATATGGTACTAGAATATTTCATTTCTGGAAAATATTTTTTTCTCTTCTACCAAGCAATATGTATGGAGAAATGAAGTGCAAAAAAACAAGTGAATTAGATTAAATTTGCCTATGAGCTGAGGCCAGTACAGCCTGAATTATAGAATTTATCGAACTAACCACAGAAACTATAAGGCCCCCGTAAATGATCCATTCTTGAAAGTTCACATTCATTCATACTAACTAAGTATATATTTCCTCCTTTAGGTATCGAATGGTCAGGTTAGATTAGGTCCAAAGTGGGTGGGTCTATTCGACCCTCTACGGCAACCCGAAAGAGTTTATTGTGGCTCACACTTATTCACACTCTACCAAATAAACCCAGATTCTTAACGAAGTCGAGTAGATTGTATGGTGAGAGGTCTTTCACGTCAGCTGGTAAGAGTACGGCTCTGCCGAACTCTAAAAACCTGATTCGGTCCCCAGCGGGGAGGCACAAAGTATGTGCTCTGCTATTTCATCATTTTCCAAACAGAGGCCACACACACTGTCTTCCGATAGTCCGAGTCTCTGCATATGATGATTCAAATGACAGTGACCAGTAAGAAGGCCTGTTAGACATCGTAGTTCAGCACTACTCTAGACCAATAACTGTTTGGTATCAAGCTTCGAAGGGTGAATAAACGCCTTGGAGTGAGCCAATCCTGAAAGATTCTGCCAGAAGTCCATGAATCTTCTTCCTAACCAGGTGTTCAATGTTTTTTTTTTAATTCAAGTTGTTTATTGTCCCTTCAACCATTCAGGTTATTAGAGACGGCATATTACATGTCATAGTAAATATAAAAATGTGAATAACAGATACAGTTAATCTAATATAATCTAAATTTCATTGACTAAACCAATATCAAATAGGTAATCTATAAGCTGGGAGGGATTGCAACCTTCCTTCAGAAGTTCGGCAAGAGTTGAAGGAAATCCATGTAGTTTTCGATGTCGATTGTAAGCTTCGCACTCGATTGAAATATGTTTCACTGTTAGGGGGCAGTGGCATATTTCGCAGGTTGGTTCTTGGGTTTTATGGATCAGGTGGGACTGTGTGATGCGGGTGTGTCCAAAGCGTAGTCTAGTGACCATGGTTTGTTGTTTATTTTCCAGGGAATATATTTTTCGATGGAGTACGGTCTTTTTTACTTCGGTCAATTTCGATTTGGAGAGGTTCCATTCAGCTTGCGCCATGCATTGATAATCATCTCTTTGAATATTTGTTTGAGGTCAGATTTGGCAGTTCTGGTTATTGTGTGAAGTTCGTCAATATCCGTTGCATCTCTAGCTAATCGATCGGCTATTTCGTTTCCCTTTATATCCATGTGTGATGGTTACCATACGAAGTGAGTCGTTTTATTCTGTTGTTGAAGATGATGGAGTTCTTTTTTATAGAGTTGAGATATTGCGGCCTTAGAGAGCTTGTGGCATGAGTTATATCCAGACGCGGTGGTAAAAGCTGCGGCAGTTCCATTTTCTGTTTTTGAAGCATCTGTGTATATGTGATTATATTCTTGGAAGTGACTCATTATTTGATGGAAGTTTTTCTTGATGACTGTTTGATTTGTTTCGGTTTTATTGAAACGAATTAATGATTTGTTACAATCTGGTAGCTTTACTGTCCAAGGCGGAGGTGTAATAGTTTCACTTGGGTATGTGTCTGGAAATTGGAGTTGAAGTGTATGAAGGTATCTATTCAATGTTCAAATGTGTTCAATGTTTGTTTGGCGAAGGCTCAAGCGACGCCAATGACAGGTTCTGGTCCGATGAAGCTGCTTGCAGCACCCTCCTTCCTAAGGGAGTCAGCAGCCTCATTGCCTTCCAGGCCAGTATGGTCAAGAATCCAGACTAAAGACAATTTATTAAGTTTTCCTATCGAGGAGAGTCGTTTTTGGCAATTTGCTACCAATTCAGACGTTCCTCGGTAGGAGCCAAGAGCTTCCAACGCCGCTTGACTGTCCGAGAATATTTTTATTAACTTGTGTATGAGGTTGGATTCTTCCAATCTCTCCGCACACAATTCAACAGAGTAAATTTCCGTTTGAAAAACAGTCGCATAAGTTCCTAGGCAGATTGATATCTCTGTCCTAGGTCTGCAACTGAAAACACCTGCACCAGAACCGGAAGGTGCTTTTTATCCATCTGTGAACCAACAAATATCTGCTCCTAATATTTCATTCTCCCAGAGGATCCAGTCTTCTCTACTAGGGTATCGAATGGAACATCTGATTGATTCTATTCATAAATTCAATTCAAAGTTGTGTTGACAGTTTCTTGGTAAGCATCCGGAAATTGTTTTCCATGCATTGCTCCAACTTGTTATGGATCAGGAACATATACAGGGGAGGAGAAAATAGATAATAACTGAATTTTTTTTCATTAAATATGAGGCGGGAATTTTTCATTTAAATTTAATATTGAAAATTATCAAATTCATCCTCCACCCATGAAAAATTCACTGTAATGAATGCTGTCTTTATTATACCCAGCCAAATCTGGTTATAGATTTCTATCGATTGGACTCTTCATTCAGTACTGCCATCAATGACATAAGCTTTTAAAAATTTCGAAATATATATTATAAAAAAAACCTTCATGATTATCTACTTTCTTACCATTATATAAAAAATACAGGTTACTTTTTAAAAAAGGAAGAAAGTAATCAGCTTCAACCAATTATATAGGGTCTTTCATTAAGCGCTTCATATTTTTGAATTTAAATAAAACAAAGTTTATGTGAGACATCATCGAATGTTTTTATTCGTTTGAAAGACCTATTGATGTCATTAAGTGTGGAATATAACATTCTTCAAATGTTCGCCACGTCTTCACTGGGTAAAGCGCATCCAAAACGTTTAATTTTCCATGACTCTGGCGCATTTGATCGACGACATGGGTTATGTTGGCTTTCAAAACCGCTGTGGTTTGTGGCTTATTCGCATACACCTGTGAGATGAGAATACTACACAAAAAAAAGTCTAACGGGTTCAAATTGCAACACATATCGTTGGTGTCTACATCAACCAATTCAGACCGAAGAAGGTTGGTTCTCTTTGACCTGAAGTGCTCGCCGTTGACCGTGATGGCCTAATCAACGTCGTTGTGATGGCCTAATCAACGTCGTTATCAAAGAAATATGGACGGATGACGACGCCAGCCCAAAATTCAAACCAAACAGTGACATTTTTGGGATGCATTGAACGCTCTTGGATCTCATGTGGATTGGTATCGTCTCAAATTCAACAATTTTGTTTGTTCACGTACCCATTCATCCAGAAATGGGTTTCATCGCTCTGAAGATGATTTGTTGATGAAAATTAGGGTCAATTGCCAGCTGCTCCAGAGCTTATTCAGCGAGCACATGTCGGTATCTATGGTCGTTTACCTTCAGTTCCTGGGTCAGTTGAATTTTGTATGGGTGCAGGCCCAAGTCGCGACGCAAAATAGCCAAGTTGTGGTCTGCGAAAGGCCGAGTTCCTGTGAGCAGCGCGAAATCGACTGATCTGGATTCTCCTACACACTCTCACAGACAGCGGCGATGTTTTCGGCAGATCTTGCGTTTCTTCGAAGTACAGGTACACCCATTATGATAAAACAATTTTATTATTTGCACGTTTTATTGAATGCTATATCCGTCCATGGTGATTTCGCAAAACGTACTGAATAAATGACAACTAATTTGACAGATGTAGCTTCAACAAGATGGCCGTTATCAATTGTCAAAATTCGGAAGTCCCTCTTGAAAGACCCTTTATTAAATTTTATTTTCATGGTCTGACTTTCTTAAATTTCTTCAAATTGAAGACTTTACTTTTTTTTCCTAAGTTTCCCACATTTTATGCATAGTAATGAAGAGGAAGGAAACCAAAAAGATTTCTTCCTAAAAATTAATCTCCTCTGAACAATATTATTATCTCAATTTGAATGTTTTATAATTTCCATCAGATTTCCACTGATTAGAATGTAGTTTCAACAATATTTACATCTTCAATATTCACATTTATGGAACTAAAAACCCTTCACATATTTGTGCGAAAATAGAAATTCAATTTCATATGAGTTATGATTCCTCAGTGATTATTGGTTACGATTAATATTCAATCACTGTAAATGAATGATTTGAGAGCCTCATAAAGTCTATTGCTTCTTTTTTTCCTATGAAACATCAGTAACTTCAAAATTATTTGAAATCAAATGACTATATTCTTTAATAATAATCTTTGAGGTTTTTAAACTCGAAAACTATGGATCGTTCAGCTTCAGCTCACGAGAACTCACTCGTTCTAAAGATATTTTTGTATTCGAAAAAAACCAGTAGAAACCCAACAAAATGTTTTCCTGTATTATTTCTACTAAGAAAATGAGTTTTGAGATGGACAAAAAATGTAATTCACTTGAACCCCTTTTTAACAGAAATATTTTTTATATATATCAGATTTTCAAATTGAAGAAAAAAACGAATACTGTATGAAAATGAAACGCCTTTATGTGCTACCTTCTAGAAAATATTCTCAAATTCCGGCCATTTATTTTCACTGTTATATGCTATACAATCAGAAACGCTGAATACGTTTTGTTGTATCAATAAACATATACATGAACCCAATGTTCCGCTTGTTATTCATCATATCACTGTTATGACAAACGGAGCATGAACCTAACTTTTACTTCATTTCTTCAACAGACAATCATTCGGGCCGTTCCAAAACAAACCGATTCAAGGCGGTCAGCAGTATGTTCAGCAGAATTTTTTGCCCTCATTTGATCAATATCAACAACAGTTGTCTCAGCAACAGATATATCAACCACTGCAATCATTATACCAGCCTCAACTGCAACTGTATCAACCCCAACAGTACTTTGCACAGATCCAGGATCAATGGAACTCTCCTCAATTTATTCTGAAACAACAAAGGGCACAAAATCCAGTATTTCTATGGGATCAACAGTTACCTTTCACCCAGCAACAAGAAGCTCAATTCCAGCAAGTATTGCCACAGAACCAAAGACAACAAAACTTCCAGGAACAAGGCTGGGTACTGCCAAGAGGACAATTTTTGCAGCAACTTCCTTGGAACCAACTGCGACAGCAATACTACGGACCTCAGCAACAGTACTATGGACCTCAACAACAATAGTAAAATCAATGGCAAATATCACTAGAAAAACAACTTCAGCAGTAATATGGTCAACCTCAATAGAAATATGAACTGCTCCAAAAGCTATATTACTTACCTGGAGAACAAGTATTTCAAACAAAACCTTGTATATCCACAACAACTCGAACAGAATCTGAATAGTCAAGTATAGTCCATTTCCAACCTGCAAAGGAAATATCTTGTTAACCTTCAAGTTGTTGACATTTTTTCTACTCTGCTACCATTAGCAAATATAATGACTCTTTTACTCTTTATATTTGGTGGCATTTATTCTCTGCAAAAGCAAATCACCCCGTAGCAACTAATATTTTAGTAAATGCAATAATTGAATGATCTCATCATCATTTCTAAAAAATGTATAGCTCAAAATAGATGGTCCAATGATGTAGCTGAAAAAATATCCAGGATCGCTTTGGACAATAAATATAATAATGGGGAGTCCTGAAATCACGATAATCCATTTTGAAAATATTAAGTAATGGTGTTCCAGATTTGAAATACGACAAAATACTGCCATTTAAAAAATATTGTTCTTCCTGTTAGGCATTTTTGGCATCATGTAAGGATACAACTGATGCCTTAAACATCTCACCAGAAATAACTCTCAACTACATCAACCTTATAATAGGTTGACAGTATCAATGAATCACCCCATTTGCATTGGGGTTAAGCTATATAATATCAGTGGAGACATTAAATCCTCGAATATCAATATCTTCAAAAGGCGACTCAAGATTTTTCTGTTGCAAAAAGCATACTACTCTGTGGATGAGTTTCTCTATGATTCTTAATTTGGATTGTAGCTTATTAACTTTCAATTTTTTATGTATATTTTATATTGACTTTTTATCTTTTTTATGTTATGTTATTTTTCTTGTCTAATGTGATTGTGAAGGAAAACTAATTCAATAAATGTTTGATTGATTGATTGATTGATATTTTCTCACCTCATTTTTCAACCATGAAAGTTTTAACTCTTCACGTAACTTCTGATCATTATTGAAAACTTTAATAAAAAATGTTTCCTTCATTGAAAAAGCGGATGTATTCACCGTTTTTAATCGATGAACTCGTGCAGCTCTATTTTCAAGACGCTTCACCAGAAAACATATATACCACTAACATATCAATTTCCTCTGCCACAACAACTACATCATAACGTATTCAAAAAACACACTTCAACGTGAGATTTCCTCTTGAATGTTTACAAAACCGCGATACGTGTTTTACTATACAATTGCATCTTCTGGCGTCAACAATACATACAACAGCATTTTGTATAGCGAAACACGTGTCGCGGTTTTGTAAACTTTCAAGAGGAAATCTCAACTCAAAGTGTGTTTTCGAATAAGTTATAAGGCATTTTCATCAAATATCGGCCAGTTCTATCATAAGTATCCATCATAAGTATCATAAGTATCCATGTTACTGTCCACTTGACCCCTATCAATATTATTTTTGGCCACTTTTTACAGATTAAAGCAATAAAACTATTTTCATTTTCGCCATTTCCTTAACATTTCTCTCTAGTCATATTTGAAGCCATGTATTCTTCAGATATACAATAGCATATAAGGTAATCGATTGGAGTATAACTCACATCCATGTCTTTTCTCAGATGCTTCAGTTCCATCATGTTATATTCATAAAAGACAACTTCAACTTCGGTATCATATTCATTACGTGAATATATAATCTACTGTTGGTATCCGAAACAAGCACTGCTCCCGAACACCAATACTGCAACACTTCTCTCGACGTGAGTTTCGGTAAATCACTCAGAGAAACGCGCCTTTTGTATTTATTCTCCCCCAGAAAATCAAGTTCTTCCCCTTTAGTATACCAATCATCAAATGGGAACATTTTTAATGAAAAGGCAAGTTAAACTGAATATTTCATAAATTCATCATACATATTGTGTAAAGAATATGGATAGTGTGATTTCCGATCCAAAAGGTTTCTGGTAACAGATTATAAGAAAAAAAAACAAATTCGAAAGAAATTATTCAAAATCGGAACTGTTTCTAAGGACTTGAACTTCCACAATTCTATTGTTCTACTAACCTTGTCAACCTACATTTTTTTGGTATTGTTATTAAAATAGTTGACTGCACGAAAGTAGCTGCACCGTCAGCGATATGTATCAACAACAGTTTCACTAACTTCTATGAAGAACATAATCTATTCATTATGAGGAATTGATTCTTGAAAGGTTGTTTCTGCATCATACGTATAAAATGTTGATGAAATTCGTGAGATAAGAACCTTTCTGAACCTGAATAACCTCAAAAATATTTCCTTATTTCATTATTTCGAACAGTTGAAAAAGAATAAAAACTGCAGTTGGTATGACTTGAACCTACGATCATTAGTTCACAAGCCTACAGTTCAAACACTGATATATCAAGATATTTATATATGAGTGTAACTATTAAAGTTTTCGAATATTCCCATTTCATTATTGAGTAGCGAACTTTACTAACTTTCGCGATCTGAAACAAAACTAAATCAATAGATAATCTGCTGAAGTATATTAAATGGCAAACTGAAATGTTCTCCTTAAAAACTTACTGCGTAATAATCAGTACCAATTAATCAGTAACTTGTATCAATGAATTTGATCTAAAAATTGAGTAATACATACAATCATGAAATTTCTCTACACAGATTTGCTATTAGTGATATCAAAAATAAAGAAGAAAGCCGTCAACCATCATATCCCTGAAAACTTGGAAGGTTTTAACATATTGGGCAATCATCAATATGGTTTCCGGAAACAAAGATCAAAGACCATCGTATGTCACCCATATTTGAAATAAAGCAATCGAGAATCATGGAGAGTTAAGAACTGTTGCGCTTGATATTTCTAAGGCCTTTGACCGTGTGTGGCATGAGGACTTGCTGGCCAAACTTTGATGCTATGGCATGTCGGATCATTTTTGTGTATGGCCCTTCAGCTTACTGAAAGACGTTCCCTGCAAGTAGCTGTTGATGGATATCTCGCGAATACTTTTACCACCTACTCTGGTGTTCCCCAGGGATCCATATTTTCTGCAACCCTCTTTTATTGTATATGAATAACTTATTGGGAAAAACGAAAAATCCAATATATTGCTTTGCTGACGACAGCATACTTGTCTCGTCATTTCATTTGGATTACAGTACGGTAGCCTGGTTGGTTGACGTGGGTGATTTGCTGTTCGAACCGCAAGGCTAGATGATTGATTTTCAATTCCCATCGTCCAATCCGTGTTAAGGAATCACACGTTGAAAGGTAAGACCTTGTTAGTCCTTAGCTCGCACGTGATGCGACTTTTGAGAGTTGTCGTTCGTAGGAGAGCGACAGTTGGTTACCGAAAAAACAGAAACAGAGGTGAAACAAACCAGCACAAATTCAATACCATAAAAACCCAAGCATCGGGTTCCTTCAGAAAGATAAATGTCTCCGAACCGGATATAATAATGACAATTCCGCTTTTTTAATTGAGAGCTTTTATTTAACTTGACTTGTATGTATGTTAACAAATCTTGCAAGTTTAATTTGACCCATTTCCGGTATCCGATTGACCTAAAATTTTGCATGCTGGTCTAGAACCGATGACAATGCATGTTTATCATAAACGTGATCTGATGCTGCTGCCAGGATCGGCTCCGTACGAGAGATCTTCTCAGCGGTAAATAGCAGGGACACGAAATTTTGTATACGCATAAAATTTTGAATTTCAAACCCTAAAAATCCTATGTGTGCAAAAAAGTTATTCAAGGTTGAAGTTCCACGTTTCAAGCATTCAAGGCACTTTTATTCAATTACAAACATTAGGAATTGCTTACAAGCTTAGTAGGTGCCTACCTAATTACAAAATGTCAATTACAAATTGAAATTATCGCGACAAGCTTTTATTACCTATAATTTCAATTATGTGAAGTCATAAAAGAATGTGGTTAATGTGATTTGAAATTTTATTTTGATCTTTTTAGGGCACTCAAATAAAAGCTTGTTTTAAAGGTTTTTTATCATTATTTTAAGCTTGTCGCTCATTTGCCTGGCATAACACAGCACGTCGCTGTCCGTCGCCTGATGGCAACGGGTAGTAGTATCGCCAACTTGTCCAGCTACAACCAGCATACTGAAGGTGCTGTTTGTTTGATTTCAAGGGAACTTTACTTGAAATTTTTCCTCGTCCATTTTCATAGGTACCGTCTGACACTGTGCTGTCAACTGATGGAATAGCAAAACAGAAAGACTGAAACTTCCCAGGCACTTTTGGACAAGAAGATGCTGGCCGGCGACGGACACTCTTGGCTGTGTCGTGCCGGGCTAGTGGGCGGTTGTCCATTCATTATCATTGTTCCAATCCTATCCGTATTTTGACGGGACGTGCCGTGCTGTACTGTGCCGGACAAGTGGGCGATAAGCTTTATGCTTCGATAAGTTTGTAGGGGGTTAAAATGAACATCATTTTGTCTTGGCATAATCATGTCGCTGGAATTGCAAATGCTGCTTCTCATAAACTTAGGACACTGTTCCGAACCAGAAAATTGTACACGCCTCAGCAACTTTTGATGCTTCATTAAGTTCAGATCTGACCGTCTTTGGAGTATTGTTCTCGTGTATGGAGCTCCGCCCCTAAGCATACCCTGAAGCTGCTGGATTCTATCCAGAAAAGAGCCATCCGCCTGATTGGAGACGCGAACATCACTTGTAACCTTGATAGTCTGGAACATCGAAGAAAAGTTGGGGATTTGTCTCTCTTCCAGAGATATTTTCATGGGAAGTGTTCAAGTGACTTGGTACATTTGATTTCACCAAGAGTGGTAAATATCAGAAATATGCAACGGACTGTGGCTGCTCATCGTTTTGAGGTTCCACTCAGTACACCTCGAACTTTCCTGTTCAAGAACTCTTTCATATGGAAAACTGCGTTTATGTGCAATGAACTGCCTGAGAACGTTTTTCTAAATGGATTCAATTTCCATTCATTCAAATCCAATGTGAAGAGCTACTTTCGCACAGGCACCGATCTTGGAGCGCTTTGAGGATTTTCCTGTAGTGCTTGTGTTTTTCCTTATAAAAAAATTGCCTCTGATGGTTTTCGTTCTCGAAAGTCTCGAAACACTATAAATTAATTAATGAAGAATGCTTCAATCGGAATAGGAATATTATTTTATTTATTTATTTCGAAACAAACAGGCAGAGCCTAGTTACATGTTTCTTATCATCTTCAAGTACAGTTTTGAAACAACAAAAACACTAAAAGACTAAAAGATTAAAAGATTGAAAGACTAAAGGACTAAAGGACTAAAATACTAAAAGACTCAAAAGATTAAAAAAGACTAAAAAGACTAAAGACTGAAAGACTAAAAGACTAAAAGACTAAAAGACTAAAAGACTAAAAGACTAAAAGACTGAAAGACTAAAAGACTAAAAGGCTGAAAGACTAAAAGACTAAAAGATTGAAAGGCTGAAAGACTAAAAGAATAAAATACTGAAAGAATAAAATATTGAATGAATGAAAGACTGAAAGACTAAATGACTTAATTAATAAAAGATTCAAAGACTAAAAGACTAAAAGAATAAAAGACTAAAAGACGTAAAGACTGAAAGACTAAAAGAGAAACCCAGTAAGCGGTTATAAACGCAGTAGTGAACTATAGGGGTACGTTCATACTCGTCAGCAGAATCAGGAATTGATAACCTCTCTCAGGTTAGATTTGAGTTTTGAATATGATACATCGAAGATACCAAACCTAATGATATTTGCGTATTTATTATAAATTGATCAAATTCCGTCAATGGGAGATTTATGTTGAATGTATTAATAATTATATTCTACAAACTATAAAAAGAATGAAATATTCAGATGTCATTTTCGATATTCTACATGAATATACATACTGAATGTTTTCCGATAATTTCTCAGC